TGGTTTTTCTTAATGGCCTTGTTTATGTCGGGTTACACTAGCTATGCATTGGCAGAATGATACAATCTTTAAAAAGAATCTTGACTTTTGCTTCTAGCCACAGCGTCTGGAATTACCATTCTGCCACAAAAAACCAGAACACTGGAACCCAAGTCATAACAGTTTTGAGACACTGGACATCGGGCCGCACAGGACTGTTATCACTGAAGGGAAGGACACAGATGAGGTATTCTCTATGCAAACTTACTTTTCTGCCTACTGATCATTTCTAGATCACAGCAAAGGTAGAGGAACTCCAAGAAAGCTCAGTGGGGGTGGGGTAAAGCCACGGATGCCAGGGAGGCTACTGTGGTTGGAGAAGAACATGGGCCAGGTGCTTTGGGATCTGCACGCCCTGGGTTCTGCTCACACAGACCGTCATCCCTGGAAAACCACTTCCCAGGTGAGGAGGTGACACTCATCAAGAAGATGTATGACCACCTGACTCCCCTCCACAGCCTGCCTGGGGCCCCAGGCCGTCTGCATGGGTATCTCTTTGGAAGGCTCACTCTGATGCCCAAGTAGGACAGTCCAGAGCCCGGTAGCCTTTGAGGGGCCCCTCTGATGCCCCCTGGTGCTGGGGCTTCTGCCTGAGCCCCTCCCTGCAGCCACTGGGCAGCTTTTTCAACACCCTGGAGCCCTCTCCCAAGATATGGACCCAATGGAAACAGTAACGCCTTTGGCAACGACAACAACAATAACAACAACAAAGGAAAGAAAGAAAGAAAGAAGAAAGAAAGAAAGAAAGGAAGGGAAGAAAAGGAAAAGAAAAGAAAAAAGAAAGGAGAAGACAAAAAACTCAGGGGTCTAGCTGACTAGTGGAGGCAGAGACTGGAATTCAAGGAGAAGGACAATAAAACCTGTGAGTGCAAGCCAGAGAAAGAGCTTCTGAAATAGAGGATGGCATCTCACGGAGCTCTGGCTGAATAATAATGTGCCCATGCTAAAGGCAGAATCCCACAAGAGTAGACAGAGTAAAACTTTCAGAGAAGGAACAAGTGCCAGGAAACTCTAAGCAAAACAGCTTCTAGAGTGCACACGGTACCCGTAGGGATTCATTGAAATTCTCGCAGGCCAGCATGAGAGACCTTTCAGAACACCGCGGGGGTTGGGGGTGGGGGGACGGGAATTCAGTAGAGACTTCAGAAAATAGACGTGTCAGTGGCAGGGCAGAATTTCCTTAGAGGAGAGATTGCTCTAGACTGGCCCTTAGGTGATGAAAAACAAAAAAAGCGTGTCTCGAAATAATCAGACTTAGCTGCAAACAAACTGACTGCCAAAAAATTCCTAACCCCGTCTAAAGGAATAAAAGTTAGCACTCAGTGCCTGGCAATCCAATAGCCTGGCATCCAATAGCAAATGATTCAGCATGCAATAAGGCAGGAAAATATAACCCACAGCCAGGAGAGAATCATTCCATAAAACAAACTTATAAAAGGAAAGATAATTGCGTGAACAGAAAGTATGTTGAAATAGGTCCTGAATGATGCTTACCGTGTTCAAGGATTTAAAGGAAAACATAAAAAGGGGTGCCTGGGTGGCTCAGTCGGTCGAGCGTCTGACTTCGGCTCAGGTCATGATCTCACAGTTCATGAGTTTGAGCCCCCCGTAGGGCTCTGTGCTGACAGCTCGGAGCCTGGAGCCTGCTTCACATTTTGTGTCTCCCTCTCTCTCTGCTCCTCCCCTGCTCATGCTCCATCTCTCTCTCCCTCTAAAAAAATAAATAGGGGCGCCTGGGTGGCGCAGTCGGTTAAGCGTCCGGCTTCAACCAGGTCACGATCTTGCGGTCCGTGAGTTCGAGCCCCGCGTCAGGCTCTGGGCTGATGGCTCGGAGCCTGGAGCCTGTTTCCGATTCTGTGTCTCCCTCTCTCTCTGCCCCTCCCCCGTTCATGCTCTGTCTCTCTCTCTCTCCCAAAAATAAATTAAAACGTTGAAAAAAAAATTAAAAAAAAAATAAATAAATAAACATTAAAATGAAGAGAAAGACATAACATAAAGAAAGGAAAAACAGAAGATATAAAAGAGACCCAAATGGGATATCTACAGATGGAGAATAGTAGTCTCCAAAATAGACAATGCACCAGCCAGGATTATGGCAGACCAGACACTGTGTAAGAGAGAATTTGTGGGTATGAGGACACCCACAGACACTATTTGAAATGAAGCACACAGAGGGAGCACAGCTTCACTGACTTGCGGGTCAACAGCAGGTGTCTAACATACAAATTAGACACCCAGGTAAGTGAAGGTACCAACGATACTCGGACAAATGATGAACAAAACGTTTCTAGATTTGATGAAAACTGTAAATCTGCAGATCCACGAAGCCTGTTGAATTCCAAGCAGAATATACTACAAAACCACCTCAGAGTTCAAGGAACTCAAATTGCCAACACTCCATTGGTAAAAAGAAAATCTCAAAGCAGACAAAGAGAAAAAAAAGACAGTCCAAAGACACGAATATAAGACATCACAGACTCATCAGCAACTGCATGCCAGAAGGTAATGAACAGCATTTAAAAGGACCGAGGGAGTAAGAGCAAATTAGGAAGCACGTCAGTCTAAGGTTCTCTTGTCCGAAAAAAACAAGTCTTTTAGAAATGAAGGCAAAATGCCTTCACTGATCAGCCCAGCCGGAGACTCTGGGGGCCTCTCAAACTTTTCCCAAGGATCCGCACCCACCATTTCTCTCCCTCTCTCCCCTGGGGGGGGGTGGGGGTGAGGCCCCCAGGGACATACAAGTCAAAACCATGATGAGATATGCTCAACTCCTGTTGGTGGCTATAACAAAAGCAATACTAATAACAAAACAAAACAAAAGAGAAGTGTTGGCCAGGATGTGGAGAAACTGGCCCCTAGCACATTGCTCGTGGGAATATAAAGTGGCACAACCTCTGTAGAAAACGGTATGGAAGTTCCTCAAAAAACTAAAAACAGAACTACTGTATGATCCAGCAATCACACTTCTGGTATCTATTCAAAAGCATTGACATTAGGGTCTTGAAAAGATACACAGACGTCCATGGTCATCCCGATAGTATTCACAATAGCTAAGGTATGGAAACAACTTAAATGTCCGTTGACAGGCGAATGGGCACAGAAGACGGACTTCATACGTAGATATAATGGCGTATAATTCAGCCTAAATGATGGCAAAACAAAGACTCTTTCAGACAAACACTGAGAATCCATCGCTAGCAGATGGATCTGCCAAACAAATTTGAACGAAGTTCACCAGAACAAGAAAAATAAGGAAACTCTGTCAGCCCAGAGCCCGACGCGGGGCTTGAACACATGAGCCGTGAGATCATGACCTGAGTCGAAGTTGGACGCTCAACTGACTGAGCCACCCAGGCGCCCCTCAAGCTTTTAACCAAAGAGACAAAACGATAGTCACAATAATAATAATAATAATAATAACGATTTGTTATTACCATTAATAGTAGTTTACTATTGCTGATAAGAAATTTCCACAAACTTGGTGGTTTCAAAGAATATACATTTATTTTGTCACTCTGGCTGTGGGTCTGGGTATGGCACAGCTAGTCCCCTGCAGCTCAGGGTGTCTCCCGGGGCTGCAAATGAGGGGTGGCCAGCCTTCTCTCTCAACTGGAAGATTTACTGGGGGATTCGCGGGCTTTTGAGTTCATCCAGGATGTAGATGTAATTGATCTCACAGCTGTATGATTGAGAATCTGGTTGTTTGCTGGTTATCTGCTATAGGCACAGATCCTAGAGGTCATGTAGGCTTCCTCCACATATCTGTCCTCTTCATCAAACCAACAAGGGAGATCTCTTCTCCAGTCTGCTTGATGGATTCTCCTATAATATGATGCAATCAGGAGTTGACGTCCTTTGCCATAAACGTGATCCAAACAAGGGTGTGACGCCCTTACCTTTGCCAATTCTGTTGGCCAGAACCAAGTCTCAAGGGCGTCCCACGCTCAAGGGTAGAGGGTTACACCAACACACGGGCACTAGGAGGCGAAAATCATTGGAGCGGTCACCTTAGGGTCTGGGTGCCACAGTATTATTTTAAGAATCCACTTGCTTAGAGAAAGGGAAGCTATTTAATTTTGCAAACATCCGTCCATCAGTGTAATAAGGTCTTGGTAAATTTCCTGCGGTGCGTCCTGTCCGAGGTAAAAATCCACATGATTGTAGTGTGGAATCAACTTATAGTAAATAAGCCTGGGAATTTGGGGCAGTAAATTCTCAACGTCCTTGAGGTCAGCCACACGGTCGTGTCCTCCGCTCCACACAGCTGTGGGCACTTGCATCTTGGTCACGTTGTACAAGGGAGGTGTGAGCTAAGTATGATTAGAGATGGAGAGAAAAAACCAGATTTCGCAGAAAACCACATCGGGGGAGTAACCTTATCGATTGTTAAGCAAGTTCTTCAAATGCTAAAAGTACGCAGTTAGAATGCACTTAATGATTTCCAAACATTAAAATGTTAGAAGGGCTTGAGAGCACTTCTGTGCAATGGTATGAACTGTGAATAAAGAAAAAGATAACCGTGATCTTTCTGATTTGCACATTGGGGGAAATAGGAAAGAATCCTCGAGGAAGGGGGCTCTTATTTCTATGGGGGACCATCTTTCTTTCTTTAAAAAAACTTTTTTTAAGTATATTTATTTTGAGTAGGGGGGATGGTCACAGAGAGAGAGAGAGAGAGAGAGAGAGAGAGAGAGAATCCCAAGCAGGCTCCATACTGTCAGCACAAAGCCTGACATGAGACTCGATTCCATGAACCATGAGATCATGACCTGAGCTGAAATCAAGAGTTGGTTGTTTAACTGTCTGAACCACCCAAGGCACCCTTATGGGTGACCATCTTTCTAGTAGGGCTTGGCACTTGGAGTATGTCCTTTTGAAACAATATATATGTGTGTGTGTGTGTATATATATATGTTTGTATATATATATATATATACACATATATATATATGTGTATATATATATATGTATAGGATAAATGTAAATACCTCTTCTCTGGTGCAGAAATCTGGGCTTGGGGGGATTATTGACACTTGAGCAGACTCTTTGGGGAGCATTGAGACCAATGGATGAAAACAGTTGAAGTATGACGTGAACAAGGAGCCAGCCTGTTCCAGAGAACGTGATGTCTCTTCCTTTCTCTCTGCGATCCAACAAATCCCATCCCCCAGCTCCTCAGTGGCCCCGGATGACCCGGTCTGGCCAATCAGTCCTTCATCCCTCTGGCCTCAGTGACTGGATGAGAGATGGGCACGTGGCTAAAACCGGGCCAGAGTTCTCTCTGGAACTTTCTGCCAGTGCTCCTGAGAAAAATACTGGCTTTTTCTTCGGGTTTGTGGTGGAAAGAACGATACGAGTTGAGCACACGCAGTCACGATCTTACTATTTTTGAAATAGCCTGAGAAGGGAAAGAGCATTTGTGAGCAGAACTGGGAGAGAGAGGGAGGGGCGCAGAGAGAAGGAGAGCCCGGAGGACAGCGTTCCGGTTCCCAGCCATTGTGAGTTGATCACCACCCTGTTCAGTACAGTAAAGCAGTAAATAGATTTTTTTTAAACCTAATGTCACGTTGTCTCCTGCCATGCACAACTGAGAGAATACGGACTGCCGCCATATTCCAGGGACCGAATTCTGTTTTCCCCAAATTTGGATGTTGAAACCTTAACCTCCAATTTGACTGTATGAGGAAGTAAGGCTGTTAGGAGGTAATTGGGGTTAAATGCAGTCATAAGGGCCAGGTCCTAATTAAGTAGGACTGGCAGTCTATAGGAAGGGGAAGAGAGAGATCTCTCTCTCTCTCCAAGCGCACTCGCAGAAGAAAGGGTACGTGAGCACGTGACAAGAAGGTGACTGTCTACAAGCCAGAAAGGGGCTCCTCCCCAGAGCCCCACCAGCTGGACACTGACCTTGGACATCCAGCTTCCAGAATGTGAGAAATAGATTTCTGTGGTTTAAGCCACTCAGTCTATGGTCATTCTTCTTCTTCTTTTTTTTTTTTTTTTATGGCATCCTGCGCAGATTTCTACACTTGGCAGCAAGGTTAGGAAGGTTAGGAAGAAAAGGTAACGTGGACAAAGACGCAGATCCTTGGGAAACTGTAACCTTGGCCAGGGAGAGGTTTCCTAAATTAGTAATGTACCCGATGACTTGGTTTGGGGGGGGGCTGACTTGGGGACTGTGCACCTTCAGTTCTCTCTGCAGGGCGATATACAAGCAGAGATCACAGGCTCGATCATTACAGAAGTTACTGTTAGTCGATGGGTTGGTGTCCGGGTCTTAGAGTTACTGAATATCTTAAGTATGTCGCCTGTCCCCTATCTTGCTGGGAGACTGTGGCCCTGGGCTTAGGAGCAAGTGATAAAGGAGGAGGTGAGAAGGCAGCGACAAGGCAGGGAGGCCAGTGAGCACAGATCAGGGCTCACAATGGTGCTTTAAGGGCTGGGGAGAGCCCGCGCAACGCCCCAAAGGCCAAGAGCAAACTGGGGCAAGAGGAGGCATGCTTTTCCCGACTCTGGGTTTCTCAGCGGGATAATACAAAGCATAAATACTTAGATGCACAGATGGAGAAAGTTAAAGAGTAGAAAGACAGCTGTAAATATTAGCAAGCTTCGTGGCAGGAGAGTGGGGTTGAGGAGCCCCTGAAATCAGAACACATTTACCGCAATGATTTAGGATGCTGTGGAGGATGAAAGGAAGCTCAGAAGAAGGCAGAGCCAAAAATGAATATGCAAATCAGGATGCAAATGAGACATGCTGACTTTGGGCCAAGATGTTTTTTACTTAGTAATGAAGGTTTGGTGATTACACTGATAATTATGCCCGTCTTATTTATGGTCATTGCTCATAGTTGTGACCAAGGTTATTGCTTTTTACACATACATGTTGTTCACCCTCAGCTTGTTTGGGGTTTTCCTTTTCTTTCCCAAGGTCCCAAGCAAACGATTCATGTGTGAACTTGAATCACCATGTATCCTGAAGATGGGAAAGATCATCCCTGTGACACAGCTCTCATCCAAGTTGACGTTTAACTCTCACAAGGTAAACTCCTCATCCAAGACTCTTTCCTTTTAGCAACTATCCACTCTTGCTAGGGTAAGAAATTGGTTACTCACAAGACAAATTGGGACTTTGACATAGTATGTGGGTCTGTGTGTGGCAAGCAGCCTAGGAGAAAACTATAGCAGTTTGGGAGGAAAATCAGATTCTTCACTCCAGCTGAAATTATGTATCTTCTCTATCGCAGTTACTACGGTGGCACTGAAAATCTGCTTTTTTGAAAAATTTCCAAATTCCCATACCCCTTATTTGAAAAACTCATGTATCTTTGATGGCCACTTGTGTAACCTGAGTTCCCTCTATCAGCAGGAAGCCAAAATCATGTATGGATTTTCTTATAAACACTGGGAAAAATAACAACAAATAAAACACCACGTATTTCCATTCAGTAGAGAACTTTGGTTTTAAAAGTTTTCATAGATTATGTCAAGAAATATCTTGACATACCACTCTCTGGCAGATATCAGTACTTCTTCCTAAAAGTGATATTTCTGTCTAGTGTATCTTTAATGATATATATACGTATACATATACATATATATACATATATATACATACATACACACACACACACACACACACACATATGTTAAATGAGCAGTAATTGTCATTCCAAAGAACTAATAGGGCAGCGTTAGTTCATTTTATAATAGATGGGTAAGAAATGAGAGCATATGTTCCAGAAACAAAGATTACATATCTTTAATTCTCCTTTTAAAATTTTTTCTTCAACGTTTATTTATTTTTGGGACAGAGAGAGACAGAGCATGAACGGGGGAGGGGCAGAGAGAGAGGGAGACACAGAATCGGAAACAGGCTCCAGGCTCCGAGCCATCAGCCCAGAGCCCGACGCGGGGCTCGAACTCACGCGAGATCACGCGAGATCTCGTGAGATCGTGACCTGGCTGAAGTCGGACGCTTAACCGACTGTGCCACCCAGGCGCCCCTAATTCTCCTTTTAAAATATGGTCTTGGGGTGCCTGGACAGCTCAGTCAGTTAAGTGCCTGACTCTTGATTTCGGCACAGGTCACGATCTCATGGCTTGTGAGTTCGAGCCCAAAGTCCGGCTTTGCGCTGACAGTGTGGAGCCTGCTTGGGATTCTCTTTCCATCTCTCCCTCTGCCTCTCTCTCTCTCTCTCTCTCTCTCTCAAAATAAGTAAATAAATGTTAAGAAAAACATGGTTTTAATTAAGTGCTGAGAGTGTCTACTTTTTTTGATGTTTATTTATTTATTTTGAGAGAGAGAGAGAGAGAGAGAGAGAGAGAGAGAGAGAGAACTGGGGAGGGGCAGAAAGAGAAAGAGAATTCCAAGCTGCTACCTCGGGGCCCGACATAGGGTTCCGTCTCACTAACTGTTAGATCATGACCTGAGCTGAAAGAGTTGAATGCTTAGTCGACTGAGCAACCCAGGTACCCCAAGAGTTTCTACTTTTTGAGAAGGAATAAGTAGGGCTATAAAATCCAGGAACCCCTGAGTCATATCCTGGTTCATTACTAAGCTAAATAATTTTGACAATTTACCTAACCTCTCTGAGCCTCTGCAAACGTGGAGGCAATCATATTTACCTTGTAAGGTCATTGTAAGGATCAAAACTAATATGGAAACACTAAATTTTTTTTAAAAAAGGGGTGCCTGGGTGGCTCAGTCAGTTGAAGGTCCGACTTTGGCTGTGGTCATGATCTCATGGTTCGTGGGTTCGAGCCTCGTGTCGGGCTGTGTGCTGACGGCTCAGAGCCTAGATCCTGCTTCAGATTCTGTGTGTGTGTCTCTCTCTCTGCCCCTCCCAGTTGTCTCTCTCTCAAAATATAAAACATTAAAAAATTTAGAAATAATGGTATGGAACATGGTAAGAAACCAGTAAGTGGAATCTGATCTATATAAAATATGTGGCATAGTGTTGGAACCTAGCAGGTACTTAGTGAGTGGAGACTGATGACCACGGTCATCCATGTACCTGGTGAAAGTGCATCATGTTCTCATCAGGGTTTCCCCAGTCAAAAGCTTGGAACAGACCAGAATTAGCAGCCTATGATAAAATAGAAATAAAAACACATTACGATGATATAAGAAAACAACACGCATTTAAAGACCGTAAACAGAGGCACGCCTGGGTGGCTCAGTCAGTTGAGTGTCCGACTTCAGCTCAGGTCATGGTCTCATGGTTTGTGTGTTCAAGTCCCAAGCCGGGCTCTGGGCTGACAGCTCAGAGCCTGGAACCTGCTTCGGATTCTGTCTCCCTCTCTCTCTGCACCCCCCCCCCCCACTCTCTCTCTCTCTGTCTCAAAAAATAAGTAAACATTAAAATAAATAAAGACAGTAAACAGAAAATATACAAAGAGGATGACATTACATCCTACTCTTTAGGCACAAGAGCTAAAGTCCAGTAAAGATTAATAAGCCGGATAATAAGACTGATACAAGTCGATAGAGTAATTCACAGAACTGACTGACCGTCTTTTACTCTCCTCTATACCTCTCCAGTGAAAATTCTCAGATAGCAATGTGTTTATTTTTTTAAGTTTATTTGTTTATTGAGAGGGAGAGGGAGGGAGAGAATGAGTAGGGGAGGGGCAGAGAGAGAGAGAGAGAGAGAGAGAGAGAGAGAGAATCCCAAGCAGGCTCCGTGCTGTCAGCGCAGACCCCGACACGGGGCTGGAACTCATGAACTGTGAGATCATGACCATGACGTGAGCTGAAACCAAGTCAGACGCAGAACCGACTGCACCATGACGTGAGCTGAAACCAAGTCAGACGCAGAACCGACTGCACCACCGAGGCGCCCTGACGACAACGTCTTCAGGTGTTATAACACTCTACAGAGGAACGTCTACAAGGATGCTGCGATTGAATGATTCTTGACCATCTTAGCTTCAGGAATTGTCATAATTTTTTTGAAAGAGGCACCAGCTGTTCATCGACATTGAAAAGTGACTGATGTTTTCCTACACAGCTGTGTCCAGTATCCCTGTCAGGGTGTCGTCACTACATTCCCTGTTCTTGAACACTTTTTGTTGCTCCTGAAGGGAACGTGCACGCGGAGTAGCTTCAGCGCTTCCCGTGTGAGGGGCTCTGTCCCTCCAGCAGCCAGCCGTGTCGTCAGGAGCGGGGCCACATGCTGAGTGTCTGAGACACCGGGCACGCCACTTGGACATTTTCATGTTCAGACTTCCGCTATGAGAATGGAAATGGCCATACACCTGCACGCCTGGGGCTTCCTTCTTCTGTGACTTGCCACCCACGCTGGACCGAGGAAGGAGGTCACGTTCACGTTCACCTCACACGTTCCAGTAGACGATTCTCAGTCTGTCCCACGGTTTTTGTTTTTGTTTTTGTTTTTTTTCCTGAACTTGAATCTCAGAGATTTTTTTTCACACTCATTGATTTAATCCTGATGCTTCGTTTAAAATTATTCCCATCATGCTCTCTATTGACAGAGGCGGTCCACCGCGGTCGGTTTTCAGCAATGGGAAGCAGCAGCGTGGGCTCCTTAGGTACCTGGGTTCTAGCAGCAAACAGACCTGGTCTCAGTCCAGGCTTAACGGATTATTGAATGTGTCATCCACGGCAAGTTACGTATCTCCCCTAATTCCCGTCTGTGAAATGGGAATGATAACATTCTCCTCGTAGTGAAGATTCAACTGGGTGATGCGTTAAACAGGGTGCTAGGGTGTAGCACCTAGAAATGCTCAACAAACCTCTTTTTACTAACATTACTACTCTCGTCATCGTCGTCACCCTTGCCGTAGCCGTCCGCATAACTTATGACCAAGTGTCTCACCTCATCCCCCTCCCCACCCCCCTGACTTATTTCTGTCCTCAAGAGGACTTTCTGCCACAGGAGAAGAGATCTTTTTAAGAGCAGTGAGCTGTGAGACACGTAAGGGACAGGCCAGGACATTTGTGGCATAAGGGGTATCGATGCCTTCGTGGAAAGACTGTTAAGAGAATTCAGTGAGACTGAAGGAAATCACACGTACAAACAGCAAGGACACATAGTAAGTGCTCAGGGAAAGTGAAATTGGAGTTGTGTTACCCACCACAGACCCTCTCTGTCTCCTCACCGGGGGGAGACATTCTGTCCTGAGCATCTTTCTTCCGGCAGGAACTTGAGGGCTTATCTCCTGGGCGTGGAACTCTTCAAAGGAGTTCAGAAGTCCTCAACTAGTGTTTCAGGCTATCTACAGCAGTGATTCTCAACCGTAAAGCATGGAGCAAACTTATCGGGGTGGAGGTGAAAGTGTAAACTCGTAGGGATCTCGGATATGTCAAAACTTTGGGAAGACCCTTCTCTCTCCCCCCCTCCCCCCATACACACACACACACTCATCACACTTGGTTCAGAAAGCTGGGCCAATTGAATATGACTTCTCCCTGAACTTGCTGAATATTGAGCAATACGGTAGCACACACACAAATTTAAACTGAGAGTGAAAACAGAAACCGTTAATCTATTTTCATCTCTATCTCATACTTCACTTGCGCAGAGTAGAGCATTATTTCCACACTCTGAAATGGCCCATTCGCCAATAGGAGGATGCGCAGATCTTTCCGGAATAGCTCTATCATGTTATATAAGGTTCTGTTAGAACGGGTGGTTTCCCAAAAGAGGAAGTACAAACCTTCCCTAGAAAAGGCAGTTGGGAGTAATCCAAAAATCAGAGTTCAGTCCGAATAGGTGGGAACCAGGCCCAAACACCAGAAACCGAGGACACAGAGAACAGAAGAGAGAACGGGGAATGAACACGAGTTGATGCTGATTTCGGAAGCATCCACCTGACAGAGGCAGGTGCCCGAAAAACCCCGCGATGGGCTCTGGGAGTCCTCCTCAGGGCTCTCGGGGCGATGTGTGTGCATCAGACCAGGAGTAGGGAGCACGTACCTGGGCCCAGTGCAGCATGGTCTGCACAGATGTTCCCGCGGAGCTCTGTGCCAAATAAACGTCCAAGCGACTCTGCAAAGTGGAGATTATTTCTCACCGGGAGGCTAATCATTTGACCACACCGCAAGTAAACTTGAATATTCTCTTTCTCTCTCTGGGGAATGAACATGGACCATGCCCGCTTTAAGAACTTTCTCCTCCCGTAGCTCTGTTCTGTCCTGTACAGTTTTCATAAAGCCCACAGAGGCCATCCCGCCGGTCAAAGACACGAACATGCCTTTTCTCTCCCGCCTCACCTCAGATGGCCCAAGAGCACAGGGGGGTTGAGGGTGTGAGAGCCCCAGTGACCTTCGTCACCCTGTGTTAAGTCCCAAAGGACATTCTGAGAGAGTTGTTCATCGTGAGACATTGAGAAAAGATCTAAATGTTTCCTTTGCCTTCTGATTTTAAAAACACAGTGAGTATTCCACAGGGCTCTCTGAAAGTTTGTGGAACATAATCCATCCAGGATTGTAACCTCCACTGACATTTAGACTTTTTTCCGGATGAAAAAAAAGAAACAACTTGATAGTTTTCATTGCCATTTTTTTTTTTTTTTTTTACATTTTAGTATACAAAACGGTTATTTTGCCACCAAAGTGAGCACAGAAAGAGCATGGAGCTTTTAAAAAAAACACTACCCCTCATGAGCTAGCCAAACCTACTGAATCAATATCAAAATCTCCAGGGTTGACTCCTGGACATGTGTATTCCTTCAAAGTTCCACAAACTCTACTCAGACATCCCAGGATATCCTCCACTAAAATAGACATCCTTGCAGAGATTCCATAGGCCGGCCCCCAACAGTTAAAAAAAAGGGGGGGGGCAATTTGACTGTATAAATGTACAACAAGGGCCCTCAGTGAATGTTCTAGAAGGTCCTGTTAGGAAGTCTTCCTCTGGCAAACTCTTAAGCCATGTCGAGAAGATGCTTTTGAAATTATCCCTCTTGTGTTTGCTTACAGCTCCTTGCCAGCTCTGCCTACATGATAGGCTACCATCTAAGCGACAGGCCCGTGCAATCCCCTTGGTAAATGGAGAAAACAGAAAAGGAGTGTGAAAAGGCAGGGGTTAAGGCATGCTTTGCATAAACGGCTATTTATACATCTCGTCTGAAAGCAAGAAAAGTGTTTAATCAGTGCTCTCCAGTAACAGAGGGAGACTAGGCTCTGGGCGGAAATCTGTGCGATAGTCGGAGACCATTTTCAACTATGTCCTGCTTCTGGTTTCAAAGATACCTCCTCTCTGGCTGGGGAGTGAACAGTAGCTTTCCGTCTTCCACCTCCCCCCTAGTCAGCTCACGGTGACTAAAGAAGAAAAGGATTTCAGCTGGAGAGGACTCCCCAAGAAACCCAACTGATCCCTCTCAGCGTCCCTTCAACTGTGAATCTGTAGCTATCATTGGAAAGCCATCCCTTAATCCCAATGGATTAAAGAAGTCAGTGGTTCACAAAATGACTATTTCTAGATCACCTATGAAAGTGGAAAATTGGTTTAAAAATTACAGATGCTTGGGCATACTGAAATTCTACTTCAGGAGGTCTGAGATAGGCAGACCTCAGGCACAGCGAGATAAATTTCAAAACCATAGTCTTCATGTCAGTGGAGGACCTTTCCAATGGCAGCGCTTTGGCCAACGGCAAGGGTTGGTGAGAATGTTCGGTGGCAAAGCCTTCTCAAATCCTCCTACTAAAGCAGGTGGAACCGCCTCCCGCCCCCCAGCTTCAGTCGGAAGCCATCAACATACAATTTCAAATCAGGAGACAAAAAGGAGACCTTGAGATGTGGCTTTCGTGCAATTCAGAGCACATTCTCCTCTCCTCTGTGCAACAAAATAATTGCTTTTCTGGATCCGACTACTTACACGTACCATGTTTAAGTTTTTTGGGTCAAATCCACTCAAAGTAAACAGGAAGTTGCTGCAGAGATGACGGAATAGCTTCCGGTTGCATACCTTGGTGGCAATGAATTGGTCAAAAAAGGTATGAGGGTAGAACATCTTGTCACCAAATAACGCCTGCAAGATCAATTTGAGATGCCATCAGATTTCATGGATGTGGATGTCAAAAGTGGAAAGTGAGTGGTCATTCAGCCAAGGATCGGACAGAGGTGATATCTGCTCAGTGCTAGTCCTCAGTAAAATGGAAAGGCCTGGTACATTTTGTTTTTGGTTCTCCCAACCCACCTTTGTGGTCTTCTCAACACATCTCATGATTCCCTTTCCCAAGGTCCTCTACTTGGGGTGTTTTTCAGAATGCCCTCTGAGAAATTAGCCACCGTAGGAAATTGATAAGGCTTTGGAGTCACAGATACCTTGGTTTGATTCTGGACTCTGTCTTTGCACCTTAAGGAAGTATTTAATTTCTATTATCCTGAACTTTCTCGATGATAAAATAAAAAATTAACATGCTATGTTGTGAAGGACTGTTGTCAAGATAATAAGTCATGTTTAAAAGGTACCTACTGAATCTTCTAGAACCTAGTAAACATTCCCCAAACAATAGCTATTATTACAAGTAGTGAATGATATAGACTTAATGAGCCATTCCTTCCAGAATCTTTTAGTAAACACTTCCAGAGGCAAAACTTAATCGCCCTAAAATGAATTTTTACTAGTGAAATTTCAGGCAATGTTGCCAGTGAGTTGAACTTACTTTTTGAACTCTAGGAATCCCTTCAAATTAGAACATACATTCATATCAAACTCCTGTGCATATAAGACAAATCTTACCTTTGCTTCACAAAAACTAGTTTTATAATCTTAGGATAATGAACTAGATATGAGGATGAAAAAGTATCTTTTAATTCTTTTGGAAACATCCATTTACAGTAAAACAAAACAAAACAAAACAAAACAAAACAAACCTCGCTTATCTTTTTCCTGGAATCCTTTATTGACTGGTGATTACAACAATCAATTAGATTAGATTAGAACAATAATAACTAGCATTTATTTTTATTGCGTTAGTGCACGATAAGATCTCAGGCTATCTTTGGTAAACTTGATCCGGTGAATTCCTCCTGGGTAGAGTTGGTTGAATTCTGAATTTGAAAAGTGGTTATTTTATATGATCAAAGGTAATCTTCATTTAATGGAATATTTGATATCCCATGGAATATTAATGAATCTATGACACACCGTGACTTTATCTACCCCTTCCTATGGGAGTGGGGGAGGGAGGAAGGGAAAAAAAAAAGAGGCTATAATTGTTAAGCTAGTTCAAATCATATTTCTTTAGGTCGGGAAGGCAATAATTAACCATGGCAGACATTATCTAATTCATTCTGGCCTCTTATTCATTTTGTCTCAATCACTGGGACACTTGAACAATATATTAGATAATTTATTAAGCCACTTATCAAATTGTAACTCTTCCTGTGTAACTGTCTACATGGTAATTAGTAGTAGCCACAGACACATAGAGAGAACTTTTGTTTTGTTTTGTTTTTAAAGAATGGCTTCTTGGGGCGCCTGGGTGGCGCAGTCGGTTAAGTGTCCGACTTCAGCCAGCTCACGATCTCGCGGTCCGTGAGTTCGAGCCCCGCGTCGGGCTCTGGGCTGATGGCTCAGAGCCTGGAGCCTGTTTCCGATTCTGTGTCTCTCTCTCTCTCTGCCCCTTCCCCGTTCATGCTGTGTCTCTCTCTGTCCCAAAAATAAATAAACGTTGAAAAAAAAAATTAAAAAAAAAAAAAGAATGGCTTCTTTAAAAAAAAAAAAAAAAAGACTTTATTTTTAAGTAATATTTACACCCGGGGCACCCGGGTGGGCTCGGTCGGTTAAGCATCCAACTCTTGATTTTGCTCAGTCGTGCTCTCGCATTTGTGAGTTCAAGCCCCGCATTGGACTCTGTGCTGACAACGACTCTCTCTCCCTCTCTATCTGCCCCTTCCCTGCTTGCTCTCTATTTCTCAATCAAAATAAAGAAAAATAAACTTAAAACAAAGTAATATGTACACATGGGGCTCAAACTTAAACCCTGAGATCAAGGGTCACGCGTTCTACCGACTGAGCCAGCCAGGTGCCCCTGAACTTACCTCTGAAAAGAACGTTTTCATCTATTCTGTTCTCAAGTGCAATAATCTAAATGGAGTGGCTGGCACATGAATAAGTAGTGAAGGTAGGAAGCAGGGTCTGGTTTTCACCAGTGAACATTTTTCTTTTTCTTTTTAACATTAAAAAATTTTTTTATAGTGTATTTGTTTATCTGGAGAGAGACAGCAACAGTGCGACCAGTGCAGAGCCCAATGGGGAGCTCAAACTCACAAAACCCGATCGCGACCCGAGCTGAAATTAAGAGTCCACTGCTTACCCGACTGAGCCACCCAGGCCTCCCCTAACGTTTTTCGTTTTCAACGACCAATATCTTCATCATCCACCCTTGGCAGAAACTCCGTATGAAAAGGAAGTACCAGTTCAGAGAAGTGAGCAACCGTGGAAGCATGATGTGAAGAAAGAGGTTAGGGGCACCTGGGTGACTCAGTCGGCTAAGCGTCTGACTCTTGATTTCACCTCAAGTCATGACGTCCCGGTTTGTGAGATGGAGACCCAAGTCGGGCTGTGCGCAGACAGCGTGGAGCCTGCTTGGGATTCTCTCTCTCTCTGACCCTCCCCCATTCACATGCACTCTCTCTCTCTCCCTCTCTGTGTCTCAAAATTAAATAAACATTCAAAAAGAAGAAGAAAGAGGTTCCATCTGCCATAAAAGACCCTTGTTCTTTATTCTGACAGCCGGTATTTCCAAATACTGGGTGAATTAGCATGGCAGTCGCTGACTTTACCTCTACACCCATGCATGAGTGACTCAGCAAAACGGTCATGTATTTACCCAGGGACAAATAACTGCTCCTTCCCCCTAATCTAAAAAGAGAGGAGAGCCAGCCACATAGCGCCCATTTGTATAGCGTGGTAAACGTGGCTTGTAGAATGTAATTCCAAGTTCATTCTGGAGGGGGCGTGTGTGTCCCATAACAGCACAAGATTCTTCAATTTGCTCTTTCGGTAACTGGGTGCATTTAAAAGGGCACCACTTCTTTTGGGTACATGGCACCATGCCAGGTCACATGACTTGCCAAGCCGACCATGGGCTGGATGCAGCTGTCCGTGGCTTGCTGAGCGGGGCACCCTAAGGATCCCGGACTGACTTCTTCAGGCTGGCCTTGAAAAGGTGGGGGAAAGAACTACACAGAAGAAAGAGCACCCACCATCGATGACCTGGTCAGATCTGGGTTCAAGTTCTGGTTCTGTCACCCACTAGCTGGGTCATTCGGGACAGGCTGCTTAGCCTCTTTGAGCCTCACAGTTTTCTTTTAAGAAACGAAGACAATACTAACAATGCTCACTGTTTAAACAACATGTAAGGAGCAAAGGGTCGAAGCAAGCAAGATACAAGAACACGTAAATGCCCAGGGACCAGACAAGGGGCGGGAGCGAAGGAGGGGATAAACAACTGGCAAACAGGAAATCTGGAACGCCAAGTGCTGTGGCTTTGAATCCACAATAACTCAATGAATACTACTAGATAATATCTAGTGAATACCTGCTGTAGGCCTGGTACTATGCTTAAACATGTATCATCTCAGTGAATTTCCCAAACAACTTGACCAATTTTTACCCATTTTTTTACTCATTCATCCATGCGTGCGTGCATTCATTCATTCACTTTCAACTTTATTGAGGAATAATTGACGCCATAAGACACTAAATATCTTATAAACGAAAGTTTGTACACTTTCACCTACATTTCCCCATTTCTCCTTCCTCCAGCCCCTCGTAGCCACCGTTCTATTCCCCTTTTCTAGGAAATTGGCTTTTTAATATCAGATTCTACATATAAGTGATTCAGTACAGTATTTGTTTTTCTCTGTCTGGCTTATTTCATTTGGTGTTATGCCCCCCCAGTTTCACCCATGTTGCAAATGGCTGTATTTCCTTACTTTCTTTTGGCTCTTTAATACTCTTTAAAATTTTCCCATCTTCATTTGTTGACAAATCTCTACACTGTTTTCCATAAGGGTTATACTAATTTACATTTCCACCAGCAGTGTATAAGGGCTCCCTTTTCTCAACATCCTTGCCAACATTTGTTATTTCTTGTCTTTTTGACAATAGCCATTCTAGAGGTGACTGGGTGGCTCAGTTGGTTAAGTGCCTTACTCGATTTCAGCTCAGGTCATTATCTCAGGCTTCATGAGTTCAAGACCCGCATCTGGCTCTTGGTTGGTAGCTTGGAGCCTGCTTGGAATTCTGTTTCCCTGTCTCTCTGCCCCTCCCCCGCTCATGATCTCTCTCTCTCTCTCTCTCTCTCTCTCTCTCTCTCTCAAAAATAAATAAACATTAAAAAAGATAATAGCCATTCTAACTGATAGGAGGTAATACTCCATTGTGGTTTTGATTTGCATTCCCTGATGGTGAGTGATGTTGAACATCTTTCCATGCACCTATTGGCCATTTGCATGCCTTCTTTGGGAAAATGCCCTTTTTAAAATTGGATTACTTGATTTTCTGCTATTGAATTATATGACCTTTTTATATATTTTGGTTATTAATCCCTTATCAGATACATGGTTTGCAAATATTTTCTCCTATTCTGTAGGTGGCATTTTCAACATATTGAAATGTTCCCTTCGCTGTGCAGAAGCTTTTTAGTTAGTCCCATTTGTTTATTTTTGCCTTTATTGCCTGTTCTTTTGCTGTCTTATCCAGAAAATCATTGGCCAAGACCAAGGTCAAGGAGCGTTTTCCCTATGTTGTCTTCTAGGAGCTTTATGATTTCAAGTCTTAAATGTAAGTTTTTAATCCATTTCAAGTTAATTTTTGTGAGTGGTATAACGTAAGGGTTCAGCCTCATTCTTTTGCACGTGGCTATCCAGTTATCCAAACACCATGTACTGAAGAGACCATCTTTCCCCCACTGTGTCCATAGCACCCTTGTCAAAATTTAGTTGGCAATAAGAGTGGGTTTCCTTCTGGATCCCTAACACACTGCTCTATGTACCTGTTTTTATGCTAGTACAATACTGTTTTTATTACTATAGCTTTGCAATATAGTTTGAACTCAGGAAGTGTGATGCCTTCACTTTAGTTCTACTTTCATAAGATTGGTTGGGCTATTTGGGGTCTTTGTATTTCCACACAAATTTTAGGATAGGGTTTTTTTTTTTTCTTCTATTTCTGTGAAAAATACCATTGGAATTTTGATAGGGACTGCACCGAATCTACAATTCACTTTGGGCTGTATGGACATATTAATGGTATTAATCCTTCCAATTTGTGAACATAGGTTATCTTTTCATTTATCTGTGTCTTTCTGGGTTGTATCAATATAGAATTGAATTACCATGGGCTAATTTAGTTATTTCTCACAAACCCAAATCTCTGGCTTCCGTAAAGATTATCTGACTTTTATCCGCTTTCACTGAAATCACTGAACACAAGGATCGCTCTTAGCCCTGGGAGAAGCCCATATCAATATGGAAGAGAAAAACACACTAAGCCACATGGACCAATTCACTTCAGCTGAATAACTGATCAGATTAGTTAGCTGTCAGCCAGCACAGAGAATCTGGACTTCAGGATATTGTCCAGATTTTGAGGACTTGACAGACTGAGAATCACTAAACGCTGGACTTTCAGTGATGGGGGGAAGGTATGGTCTGTGCAAATCATGACAGCAACAAGTAGCTGATATTTATTAAAAGCTTAGAACGTGCAAGTCCTGGTTCTAAGGGATTCACATGTCTGACCTCAATCCTTAAAGCAGCCCTATGCGTGGGAACTATTATGATCCCCCCTTTACAGATGAAGAAAATGACTCCCCAAACATTTCAGGTCTCGGCCAAACTTACCCAGCTAGCTAGGATCCAACCCCATGCCATCTGGCTCCGTGTGGTGATTTTAACTACTACTCCATACTTCTCCTGAAAAACCAAGGGCTGCCAGAGAGAAATTTAACCTACTAGATTAAACAAATCGATTAATCGAATCAACATTTGCTTTATCTGTGATTGAGGAATGACATGGACAGAAGCCTGTAGATGTGGATTTAGACAGTAGCGTAGAATGGCATCGGAGTGAGCTCTCTGAACCCTGTTGGTAAAATTACACCACGGTACATCTCTATCGATAGCTTATATCTGTTATTGTCTCAGAAGTTTATAAACTACCATTTTGTCTAAGGTTCTCTTCCCTTGAAATCAGCGAAAACGGAGCTCGTTTTAGTTACTACAGATTTAAACCCGGAGGAGCCACATACCTTGACTACTTTTCTGGAAAGAGTTGTTAATTTTTTCATAGGACTTTGGGTGTATTTCACCGTGATGACTGGAGCCAATGCGAAAAATATCTTAATCCTTTTAGCCAGCTCTGGATTTGTAGAGAATGCTATGAAAGCTGGAAGGGAATTAGACACTAGTTTGTAGGTTTCGAACAAGTCTTCATTCATCGTACATGATAGCAAAAGTAGTCT